AATATAACATTAACTCTATTTTCGATGAATTTGAGTTAAGATTCAAATAAATGCTATATATAGTTCACAAATTTATATAATACTTATAGAAGCAAATAAAATTAGAGAATCGATATTCAGGTCAGTTAAGCGGTAAATGCATTCTTCTTATAATCTCTCTCTCTCTCTCTCTCTCTCTCTCTCTCACCAATTACTATGAGAAGTGTCTATAATTCATATTTCACTGCTGTTAGTGGTTTCTGTTTTTAAGATACAAAAATATATTGGATTTGTTAATGTAAATATTTGATTTCTTAATGTACTGAATGTATTCATTGAGCCTTTTTGGACTTAATTGTCAAATATATACAAACTATAAGTGCATATTTAGTTCAATAACTGGTGGGTGCTTATGGAGGGAGTCGATTATACTATATTTTATCAATGAATGGAAAATATGAAACATTACTTGATTAATATAGGATTAAATATCTATATATATATATACTCACATGACTTGTTTATTAAAGAGTAAATTATATAGTATTCAGTATTTTCTATTCGTTTGAATACTAATTTAATAAACACGATCACTATTAATTCGATTAACACTTGAAATAAGGTTTTATTTTTATTTGTACAACATTTAATTTGATTAATCAATAAAAGTGTTGTAGATAGTAGTGAGTGTTAACAAATCAAATTTATTGGGCCACTCGTAAAATAAATAATTTATTAAAAAATAAGACTTTTTACAAATTTAATTAAATTGTATTTTGGCATCAAACTCATCATAATTAATTTACATGTTATTAATGAATACTTTAATTTATGTTGAAATACTTGAAGTTATGCACTATAGTCACTGAATTATAATGAACCCTCGAGTGATGATATAATTAAACATTTTATTCATTTATTATCATATCGTATATTAATTTATTTATTAAGCAAAAAGTCTGGACACAATGCTTGCGCAATATTATATGACACTTTGATTAATGCTAAATATAATTATTTTAAAGTAATTATATTGTCTAAAAAATATTTATTTTATTTCTAGCTTATATTTAACTGAAATATTTTCTAATGATGACGAAAATTGTTATAATTTATTATTTGAAGTTTATATTTGATTTACAACATGTTTTTAAAAAGAACCTTAATAAATTGCTATTTTTAAGTCAATAGTAAGAATTCCTAAAAAACAAATTAATTAATTATGCAATTATTTTATTTTCGGAGTAAACAGTTTAATTGTATTTTAATTAGATTTTTTCTATGGTTTCAATTATAAAACACTAAAAATAAATATTCAATACGTTTTCTAGCGCTTTTGTAGAGCTTTACAAACATATTAAAACATAATATTTGTTTTGTATACTATTCTTGAATTATTGTATACACTGGTTATACCACAAGAATATTATCAATGTTTATACAGAGTGTAGCGTAGGATAAGCTTATTAATAGACTTGTTATTGATTTTATGTTCCTTATATACAAATTAAAAACACTAAAATATTACATAATTTTAAAAATTAATTAACTGGGTTGTTGAAGTAAAATAAAAATCTAATTAATGAGTTAATTAATCACCATATATTATAAAGCGAAAAATATTTTTAACACTAAATTATTTCCAACATTTTAAAAGTAACTTAAAGTTTGGTTTAAAAAGTTTCCAACCAGCATTAATCACTTAGTTTAAATTAAATTAAATTTATGTCTAATAATAAATACCGTAATAAATAATTGCATGCATTTGAAAGTGCTTTCAAACCGGCCGTCCCTTTGCAGTTGTGGTCGTATTCAGCGACAAACAGACGGCGCGCAACATAATGGCCGCCGCCAAGCGTCGCAAAGCCATCAACCGATTCATATGGTTGGGGTCGGAGGCGTGGGCCTGTCGGGAGTCGGTGGTCAGGAATCACGAGCACGTGGTGGAGGGGGCCATCACTGTGACGCCGCTGGTGCGACCCATCGACGGCTTCGTCGAGTACTTTACATCCCTGACCCCACAGAATAACAAACAGAATCCGTGGTTCAGTGAGTTCTGGGAGGAGCACTTCAAGTGCAAACTGGCCGACGAACACACTACGCCCTTCAACGAGCCCTACCCCCACTGGTGCTCACCCTCCAAGACTATAGCCCCCGACTTTCGGCAGACACCGACTCTGCACTTCGTGAGGGACGCCGCCTATGCCTTCGCCCACGCGCTCAATGATATGCACCGCCAGAAGTGCGGCGATGTGTCCGGTCTCTGTCCGGCAATGGCTGACATCGACGGCTCAGAGCTGAAGAAATACGTGGAGAAAGTCAACTTCAAAGGTATTTCAGTGCAGATTAACAATGTTTTGATAAATTTGTTTTAATTTATTGCTAACGTAAATATAAAAGTAATTTATTATTAAAAATATTACACTATAATATAGTGACTATATTAACAGAAAAAGTAAGTATTAATAGTATTTAGCAAACATTGTGTGTAAAAGAAACAAAATTATAATATGTGTGTTGATATATCGTACCAGCGCCAGTTTAATCAATTAAGTGAATTAAGCAAACATGAAAATTGTTTGTTTAACTAATTTTATTACTGTTTATGCAAATCAAACATTAGTACTATTTATATTATCATTAGATAATTAGTGTAGAAATTGTTATGATATATTTGATAATTATGTCTAATTCTGTAATTCTGTGCCATATGTAGACGAAAGCGGCAAAACATTCCGATTCCTGCCCAGTGGTGACGCCCCCCCGCGCTATAGTGTTATGAACTTTCAGCGCCTCCCGAACGGCTCGTTTGAATGGAGACCTGTCGGCACTTATATGCGTGAGAATCATATATTATATAAACATTTTTTCATTCATTGTTCACTTAATTGAACACAAAATACATATTATTTTTGTCATTACAATGAACTTAAGCCTCAATACTCTAATCGTACCAATAATGAGAGAGAAAATGAATTATTTATATGAAAGCAATTTTTTCTCACTTATTGCTACAAATGTGTTCAAAGCATGAAAGCATAAATCAATTCATAATTTATTCGTGTTTTTTGAATTGTTGTTGTTTTTGTGTCATTAAAACAGTGGGCAATGACGGGGACGTCGCTAAACTCGATCTAGATATAAACGCTATGCGTTTCAAGCAGGACCAACCACACTTCCCTAGGTCATTCTGCAGTGAGCCGTGTAAGCCGGGTCAGGCCAAACTACAACTGGAAGGCGATACGTGTTGCTGGCTTTGCACCAATTGTTCACTCTATCAGTATTTAGCCGATGAATACCACTGCGAAGACTGCCCTTTAGGTAAATCACAATTTATTACTTTTAATATCTAAATAAGTAATTTTTGTTGTGTTGTATTAAATATGTTATATGGTAAGAATACCATAGTTTATAAACTTTATACTTATACATATATTCTAAAATTATTATTTATTTATCGATTATATGGTATTACTTATGGATATTTACTTTAAATTCTTTCATTTAAATGGTTTTTAAGATTTTTGCAGTAAATTAATGTTTTTGTATAATCCTATTGCGAAATGAACGATGTTCAATTTAAATTATAAATATTTGTCTTAAAGTATTATATTCTAATTAATTTTTTGTAAATGTTATGTTGAATAACTTAAACAAATGTCTGGAAATATTTTGAAAGTACATTTAATCTTATAATCTTTTGTTATTTTGCGAGACTTTAAAGACAAAAGAATATTCTGAATGAGAAATATTTTGAAGAATATATTAATTTATATTATAATTTTTTCTATATTTTTATAGGGTGAATTTTATTTAGTATTTCTGATAATTTAATAATATTTCACTTTTTTTATATTTTTCACTCGTCTATTGTATAGTATAAAATTTAATATCCAGATATTATTTAGTCTGAAAATTCTTAACTTTATACGAAGTTATTGAGAAATTCAAGACCATAGTTAGCAGTATATACTGTAGATTGAATCGTTACCCAAATCAATGTTTTATTAACATAATATTAATAGGGTATATAAATCATACTAGTTAAATTGCAATAAACTTGTAGAATTGAATAAAATTTAAATCTAATTATGAATATAATAATAGAATACATTGTGAGTCCTATTATTGCTATTCTGAAGCATAAATAATCAAACAAATTGCTTATAAGATGTGAAATATGAAATTAATTTGATGTTATTTGAGTCGGTGTTAGCAATTTATTATTATTATTAACATTTTCATTTTGAGTGAGTGAAAGAAAAATGTAGTGATTTATTATACAAATTATAGTCAAATATAACACAAAACTAGACTATAATTTCAGTGTAATTTAAAATAATTAAATAATAGTAACATAGTTCATTGTTTTAATTTTATTGAATAAGTTAATAATATTGATATTTAGTATGAACTAAACTATAATCTATAAAATACAACTGTGCTCTTTATGTGTGATCAATAGATATACAATTGAATTGAATGGTAACCTTCAGGACCAGAAGGACATTCAAAGAAGTCAATCAAAAAGTTATTAAGTCGTCTATAGAAAAGTCTTTAGGCTTCAAAAAAAATTCAATCAACTTTTATTTAACACTAAAATACTAGTATAAAGTATAATAGATTTGTATTTTAGTGTTTACTATCGATTCTGTGATATCATATATGCGGTACAGAAAGACTAATTCTGCTCACACTATGACTTCAATGGAAGTAGTATTCTGTGAATGGCTTCTCGAATATCATACATGTATTGAGTTGTCATTAGTCCTTCAAATGTATAACTACATAGAGTACTAATAAAATCTCTTTTCTATCTTCTATCAACATAAGACAATAACTACATCTGCTCATTAGTCTCTCTCTCTCTCTCTCTCTCTCTCTCTCTCTC